CCACACAACACACACAATAAGTTCAACAACAATCTGAAAGATAAAAATCCAGGGATTTTTTCGTTTTTTTCAGTTTCTGACTCTAATAAATGATGTAATTTTGGTGATTTTTTCCGTCTCAGTGATGTGTTATTTATCACCTCGTCATGCAGCCGAATATCCACATTCAGCTTCATTAAACTGTTTGATGAAGCTGTTTGGACCTCGTCAGCACTTTTTCAGGTTAAACACAGAAACAGTTAGAAGCCTTTTAGTCCGGACATCAGAAGGAGGCGTCCATTTAAAACAGTAGAAAATAGAAAATCGATGCGCGGCGCTCAATGCTGATCCTGCGGCCGCAAATAAATCAGAGTCTGGGAAACGCTTCACCTCGACTGCCTTCGTCTGGTTCCAGGTAGGAGAGCTGCTGCTGCTTCGTTCATTCGTTCCCGCTCCAGTAAATCAGCGCCGACGTCATTCAGAGACGCAGACAGAACCTCCAGGTGAGCGTCTGGAGCCCAAACGCAGCCGCAGTGCATCGTGGGAAACGCCTGATCCCTGAGCTGCTCGCTCAGACGCACAAACGGCTCGTTTTTAAAGGACTGGCAGAGAATTCAGAGCTGACCGAGTGTCCAACGGTTGATGGTGAACACTGATAATGATCACATGTCATCTATAGGATGTGTTCTGATCAGCTTCTCTGTTCTATAGAAGAACCTCGTTAGAACAATTAGTGCTGCAGGAGCTGAAGCACAAAAGTTTCTTTAGGTTTAAATCTGTCAGGCTGATCTGCATAATAATTAATGAGAGAAACGAGATGACAGTGTAGAAAAGTTACTCAGAAGTAATAAAAAAATAAGAACATAGTGAGAAAATGAGCTCACAGTGAGGAAAAGCTAATAACAGTGGAGAAAAAGGAGCCCAAAATGAAGAAACATGAGCCCACAGTGAAGAAAAATGAGCCGCAGTGAGGAGAAAAAGAGCAAACAGTGTAAAACAATAAGTAAACGTGAGAAAAAATTAGCCCAAGTTAAAGAAAAATTCGCCCACAGTGAGTAAAACCAAACTAACAGTGACGAAATATGAGCCCACGATGAGAAAAAACTGAGTAACCGGTTGGTAAAAATGAACCCAAGTGATAGAAAACTAAACCAGCCGTGAAGAAAAATGAGCGCATGATGAGAAAAAAACACCCTTCAGTCAAAAAAAAGAGCATACAGTGAATAAAAATGAGCCCACAGAGAGGAAAAGTGAGTCCATGATAAGAAAAATGAGCGTAGAGTGACGGGAAAAGAGTCAACAGTGTATAAAGAGAGAAATGAGCCCGTGATGAGAAAAAAAGAAGCAAACGGTGAGAAAAAATGAACCCAAGTTAAAGAAAAATGAGCTCATAGTGAGGAAAAAACAGCCTTCAGTGGAGAAAAATGTGAATACAGTGAATAAGAATGAAGCATTATTGTGGAAAAATGAGACTCAGTGAAAATAAATATGACAGCAGTGTAGAAAAATGACCTCACAGCGAGGAACAAAGAGTCCACAGTGAGTAAAAATGAGCTGCAGTGAGGAAAATATGAAACCACAATATAGAAAAATGAACCATCATTGTGGACAAATGAGACCCGGTGAGGACAAATGATCCTACAGTGAAGACAAACGAGCCCACAGAGAGAAAAAATGATCCCACAATAAGACAAAAAGAAGTAAATAGTGAGTAAAAATGAACCCAAGTTACAGAAAAATAAACCAGCAGTGAAGAAAAATGACCTCACAGTGTAGAAATTAAGTAAACAGCGAGAAAAAAATGAACCCAAGTTTAAAAAAATTAGGCCACAGTGAGGAAAAATAAACCAACAGTGCAGAAAAACAAGCCCATGATGAGAAAAAACTAGCTTCCAGTGAATAAAAATCAGCCCACAGAGAGGAAAATGAGCCCAAGTTGAAATAAAATGAACCCAAAGTAAGGAAAGATAAAGCAGAAGTGATGAAAACGGAGCTTATGATGAAGAAAAATGAGCCCAGAATCAGAACAGAATCAGTAAACAGTGAGTAAAAACGAACCCAAGTTAAAGATAACTGAGGCCACAGTG